ACACACTGTACGTCCCCACTGAGCGGCTCGTAGCTTACCCTAAGTTAGGGTGACTAGACCATGGTCAACCACGCTGGCCAAGTGCGGGTTGATTGACTTCACACATATCGTTAAATTTCTTCGCCGATATGTGCAGACGCTCTCATTTGACGCTCCATTTTAAAGTATTGATTACGTGCAATTATTTCTGCGTTAAAAATTATTCCTCGTAATATTTTATGTCATGAGTGTGCAAAACAAACTTATATCAACCATCCATCATCTGAAAATCACGGCTGAAAAATTAGGCTGAGATTCTTGTCAGATAATCCAAGAATTTCTGGGGTCATCAAAGTCACTCGTATCGTCAGCTTGTCCGGTTTCAAAATAAGCATTCGTTTATTGTCATACCAAGGTGTGATTGTACGGTGGTGTGACCACGTGTGACAATTACGAAGCCTAGGAATTGGTAACACGAGCCACGTTCCACGCATAATGACTCACAAAGCGTAAAGTAACTTCATTGACTTTTGTCCGATGCACGCAAAATTACACTTTGATGAAAGATGCCGTTCGATTATCGATTTTAATCCACAGGCATTCGATTCTACGATAAATGATTATGAATGTTGTTTGCGAGTTGATTTTCCTAGGAACAAGTAAGCGTGAAAAACATTTCCGTGTTAGAAGTTTTGTTGGAGCGACTCCGGGAATCGATTAAGTTGTTTTCGAGCTCGGGGCCGCGCTGTCTGACGCTAACTTCGAGAAAATGAAGCCTACAAGTGTCCTATTGTTCGCCACGCTTTACTTTGAAGTAATTTTAATCTATCCAAGCTGATGAAAACAGGCTATCAATTTATGAAAGGTGATGTTGTATAGATATTCAATGTAAAAAGAAGATATAAAAAAAAATAAGTTTGACTTATTTTATAGAACCTATGATTCAGTGCCTACCTACGAATAGGCCAATTGTGCTATTAGGTGAATATTTGCTATGACATGACATACATCATACTTATATTGTAAATTTGTAAGTTTAGATGGATGTTTGCAAGAGTTTCTATGTTAAACTGCTAAACGGCAGTTAAATTTAGCAAAGATGGATGTAGAGGATAGTTTGCAAGAACACATACGCTACATACTTTATTTTTATTATTTCCACGCGGACGGCGTCCCAGGCAAAAGCTAGTAGTATTATATTCATATTTCAAAGTAACCGTAGTAAACCAGCTGTGGTAACAAAACGAGTTTATCGACACTAGTAGGGGTTGCTTGTGGTTTTTGTGGACTTATTACACTTTTTTCGAAAGTATAATTTGAATTTTTGAATAATTTTATACTAATGTAGAAAGTATTAAGGTAATGTATAATGTATATAACACGCATATCTTAATACTTTCTACTTCAATATCTTAAATTGTGTATATTATGCACTAAAACATAAATAATTCATCTGTAATATCGTAAGGTAAAATTCGGATGTACTTAAAATGTAATTTAAATATAAAATGAGAAAGAAAAGTATTTTTGTTAGTTAATTTGCTTAACTCGTATTTATAAAATTTCATGATGCCTGCCACAATATCATCAGCAATTGAGCACTAAGAAATGTATTGCGTATATCAGGAAAAAACGTTCAAACGTTTCTAAATATGTAGGCGATTGGCGATTGAAATGCTGGTTTTTACCAACAGATGGCGTTATTTCAAAAATATTATAAAAAGCATTCGTGGCGCCATCTTTGATTGCCAAATTTGCTATTTTATCCTCAGTGGGAAGATAGCATGAATTATGAAAACGTATTGTATCTGCTACATAATAGAGGCGAAATGCATAGGTGTAGAAAGATAGAAATTAACAAGAAGATTTCTATGTCTATTCAAAATATACTTGAAGTCGGTTAGAATTTAATTCGTAGATGTGATTTTTAAAATGTTGAATGCAATTTGCATCGTTACACAATGTCGTATTTTAACACTATTTCTATCAAAGAAAGCAATCGATATACCTGTGGTAATTTTAGAACAGAGTCTGCTTACTAATTGGGTAACAACGTGAACACTCCAAAAAGGCATTGCTGCTACGGGATAGAAATAACTTGTATGTAGTAGGCGTACACACAGTATCGAGTGTATGACTATTATAAGTTGCTGAGTATTAATAATTTTTTACATGCAAATATTTTTCTAATTTCATCAAAATTTATTAATTTTAAAGAGTGTCATAGCAATCATACTACTGTGCAATACGGTGCTATTCGTCACTGAAAGGAGCTTGCTAAAAAAGAATTATGTTTCCCATCATAATATTTTCTACTGCACAATCGCTCCATGTTTATCACCTAACCTGAAATGCAATATTGAACTTTAAAATGTTCATACAGTATATCGAATATGGAGACGATATCCAAACTTCTTTTATTGATTGATTGATCTAAAACCATATCCTCTTCACAGCATTTAAAAATGTATATTTACTGAGTGATATCTATAGTACAATTCTTTTGTATCAGATCCATTCATTTATCGATCGTCGATAATCTTGGCAGGATTAAATTTAATTCTCGTTGTTTCATTCCTTATAATCTAAACATACACAAAAGCATTGATCGGTTCAAATATAGAAATGCAATCAGGCTTTGTTAATATTAATTTATCACCAAAAACAAAACATAAACATTTCTCAGTTTGCTTATAAGTAAACAATAAGGCAAAGAGTTTCCGCGAATTAATTTTCACAATGCTACAATCGACGTCTTCGTGTTGCAATATCGTTTGCAAGCTTTCATGTCAGGCGGAATGTGTTCAGAAATTACAACGAAGAAACATTTATTTGAAGACCATATTGAATAATTTTAACAGTCCATTGTTAGTCTAAAGCTTTCGCCCGCTAGTCCATCCGCATGGAATTAACAAAAAAGCAAAAGTGAGTGTTCTTCCACACTATCATCTACATCTATACCAAATTTCATCGAAATCCGTATAGAGGTTTAGGCTAACACTTTAACAAACACCCATCCATTCATACATCTATCTAAACTTTCGCATTTATAATATTAGTATGATTGATATTTAATTATTATTGCATTGATTGTTGCTATTGTAAGCAAAACTAGCAAACCTACAAGCAAGTATCCGAACAATTTTCGGGTGAAGTTCAGAGAGGGAAGCACTTTTCTTGCACTTTTCTCCATTTGAGTTACAACGGTTTTAAATGCCCCTTAATAGTTTATTAGTACTTAACAGTATTTGAACAAGTGTGGTGTCATTTTTTATTGCATTAAAAGCAAAACCCTCACCTACTTCACGTATACAAAGTGCAAACTTGTTATATTCAGTTACCTGCGCACGAAACTGCAACTCGGCAGAAAAGTTGAACTTTATACTTCATACGATATAATAATAAGTATTAGATTCTTGTCGCACTTGATATCTACGTGTGCAAAAGGGATTGAATTCAACGTAGTTAATACTATAGGCACCAAGATTTTTTTGTTTGTAGGATAGTCATACCTAATATTATAAATGCGAAAGTTTAGATGGATGGATGTTTGTTAGAGTTTGTAGCCTAAACGGCTGAACGGATTTCGGTGTAATTTGGTATAGATGTAGATGATGGTCTGGAAGAACACACAGGCTATTCACTTTTGTTTTTTTTTTAATTTAGCGGACGGAGTCGCGGGCGAATGCAAGTGATTGTATATTTTTTAAATTAGAGAAATGGATCAACTAGGTGATAAATACACCTTTTTCATATCTTTTTAATCCCGAACCTTCAAAAGGAGTAGTTCCTTTGCATAATTGTCCTTTATAAAAAACAAAAACATTGGAAATCTTGTTTCGAAGGATGATTATGAAATTAATGCCAAGAACAAGTACACGACATAGATCGAAATTATTGTTTTTTATAAAAATCAACTTTAGTATTGGTAATAATACAGGTTAAGGGTAAAGGTTAAGTGTCATCAGGCAACAGACAGCAGAGTCGTTGAAGATAATTATTTTTTTCAAATTCATCCGCGGAAAATCAAATATAAAATATGGTCACCATCTGGGGGCGAAGTGGCGCGACACATCCGTCCTAGAAAAGCAGTGAAGCGACCTTTGGACCGCCTGCTGGCGTCATAGAAGAAACGGTATGTTGATTAAACGTTTGTTATATTTTTGTTGACATATTCATTTGTTGGACCGTCGGGAAATACCCGCAATTAATATTTGACTAGGATATCTATATTTAACCAACTCTAAAAGTATGTCATTTATAAATTATAAAACATAACATCTAAAAATATAGTATTTTGTATCATAACCTTACTTCTTTCGCATTCTTAATTATAAATGCGAAAGTTTAGATGGATGGATGGATAGATGTTTGATAGAGTTTGTAGCCCAAACGGCTGGACGGATCTCGGTGAAATTTGGCATAGATGTAGAGGATAGTCTGGAAGAACGCATAGGCTAGTCACTTTTGCTTTTTTTAATTCCCCGCTGACGGAGTCGCGGGCAAAAGCTAGTGTGATATAAAAATAGAATTTTTGAAATTGCAGTAGAACTTCAATAAAGATATGATTTGCGAGCCTTTTTAGCAGACAACTCACGGTTAGAGTGAGAATTATATTTTTTTTACCACATATCCTGCAATTTACACTATTCCGTTATCTTAAACCTGATATCAATATGGCGTCACTAATTTTCAACGTGTTTTTATTGCGTTTTTATTCAAATTTATGCAAAATATTACGTAAAATTAAAACACACGTAGTCTTACCACAATCTATGAAAGTGGCGTAATATATTATGTACATACTCGTGCATAACTTAGTAAAAAATATTATAATGATAAATAAGAATCAATATCAATAAATAAGAATATATTGAAAACGTTTAATGTCTCCAATAAGGCGAATTTTCAAATTCATTTTTCGATGGGAAATGGGAAACCAATAAGTTGTACGAATTTTGCAGCGTCTGCACTTGTAGGGTGTCGTCAGGGGGCGAGTGCAGTGTTGCGCGGGCGCAGCTCACTCGCCGGCTCGCTTCACTCGTTCGTAGACCGTCCCAAGAGGCGCGCGTGTCTCCCTTTTTTGGACGCCTCTAGCCACGTGCCCGCCATCTCAACCAGCCCCTCCGACCCGACCTTCCGCGAATCCGATTATGGGGCGATAAGATATTATTTAGACGAAGATCCGCTTCTTAAAAAATTCGCGAGTGCAGTGTCTGGATTGTTATGGAAAATAGCGCCTTGATACCAGATACGATGTATACGAAATCGGACGCGTTGAAAGACGCCAGGGACTTGACGAAGAACTTGGTGGGTGGTGATTACGAGCGACAGTATAAAGAAGAGAAGAACTGCAAGGGACGAAGGAGATGCGTTCTTTTCGGAGTGTCTCTTGGTGTGTTGGCTGTGTGGCTGGTCGCGCTGACGTTGGTCCGAGAGATCCAGCTGCGGCGTCTACGGGGAGAGGTAGACCAGCTCACCGCCAACGTGATCGCGCTTTCCGCTAACGTCATGTCGCTCAATCAGAAGCTCTCGAATAATCGACTCTTCAATGAATTCAAAAATCTCGAGGACACGGTGAGTCTAACCACTTGTTTACTTTCGACCTGACGTCAGCTAGCAGTTGAAATAGAACGAAATGACACGTGCCGAATAAAATTTATTGATATGCTTGTTTACAACATCATTGACATTTTTATTGCTTAATATATTTAACTTCAAACGCAATGAAAAACATCAGAACAAGTGCCAAGTATTGATAATGTAAGAATCTGAATAAGTAACTATAATCAGTATTCCAGTTTAGAAGAATGCGGCGTTTAATTTAAAGGTAAACAAAGATAATGTACGCGGTAGGTGTTTTAATGTCAGTAGATTAGGTGCAGCATTGGCGCCGGTCCGCCGGTGTAACGACAAGCAAGCCGGCAGCCGTGTTCTGCCCGTACTCGGCCGCAATTTACGTAACAGTCTAAGTATTTATTGTTAGATAACGCACTTGTCTCGGCCAAGGTTCTATCATCAGGCACAGTAATTACTTTCAATTGACTCCGCATGGCGACTTCTCGTTAAACATCTACAATGTGCTATAAACATTATGGTTGTTAAATTAATAATAGCTTTAATTCTTGCGTAATAATAGTCATGACATCGGCGCCTAGACCAAGACTATTTTTTTCTGTAAATAATCTTAGGTTGCAATCCAGAAATATTACGTTCATTATTTACTGATGTTTGTGTGTTCTAGCCCATTTATTTATCGTAAATAAATAAAGTTTTAAATACCTTTAAAGCAACATATTTCGCTTAAAAATAATTTATTCTATTTCCTTCGACGTAACGATTTTAGTTCGTCCCTTTGCTCTAATGAAAAGGGACACCCACAGGCCTAATAGACACGTCCGACAGTTACTTTGAACGTCTAATCGGGTAAATCGATTAATGTGGGCTCCATTTAATTAAATAATAAGCGATCGGACGTATAGATAAGGTACAAAGCGTGGGGTCGTAAGGCCGAGCTTAGAACAGGTTTGGTTCGCGGAGGAAACCTGTTACAAATGTAAACAAAAACGAATCTCCTCATCCGCCGTCCGCCGTCGGTCGCCACGAGACCAGACATTACGTAATCACTAAACATAGCCTTCGTAGTGTTATTGTCGAAATTCTGCACAACTTTCGTCGCATGTTATGATCAGTTTTTCAAATTCCTCCTTCAATTGCTTCTTTTTAAATTTTATGTTATAACTAGATTTCGCCCGCGACTCCGTCCGCTCGGAATTAAAAAAAAAAACAAATGCAAGTAGCCTATGTGTTCTTCCAGACTATCCTCTACATCTATGGCCATTTCCATCAAAATCCTTTCAGCCGTTTAGGCTACAAACTCTAACAAGCATCCATCCATCTATCTAAATTTTCGCATTTATAATATTAGTATGATTAGTTTGATTCTAAAGCAGACAAATGCGTATGCATTATTTCTGCCTTCGATCCATCATTACTTCTTCTAAGTCAATGTCTCTTTTCCTGACATACTGTAGTATATTACATTTCTCATTAACATTTCAGTAAAGAGGTTCTATTCTTAGATTGAATGCAGTACATAGAACTACCAATCAAAGTTAGGTACTGATATATAGCAAAGATTTCCGCGATTTCTAAGAAATATAACCACTTTCAGGTACAATAAGTAGGTCAGAAAACTACTGCTAATGAATAATACAAAACATTTGTATTTGTGGTTCAATTGTTAAAGCGGACTTTGCGCAAACAATGGCTTAGAAGGTAGATATGGAAAAAACTCAGGTATACACCGCACCTTGTTCCTATATTACAGTTTTACATTTTCAAACTTTACCGATATAAAAAGTAGTTCTTTAAATGATACTCTGATATTAATAGTAGTTAAAATTTCTTGCTGTAAATAATATTCTATTTAGTTAAGTCGTCTAAATAAAAAAAACCACATACCTATGACTATCCATAGTCTTACCGTGACTTATCGTTGTAACACAAAACGTAGTGTTTTCCCTGTTTTCTCTAAGAGAATAAAAAAAGTAATAATATTTACAAAATACTGGAAATCCCAGGTTTTTTGAACTAAACAGGTGCAAAACAGTATCTAAAGTATAAAGGTCTACAAACAGATGTTTGTTTTGTAATGATTTTTTGTACCATAATCCGCGAAAGGGATTTAAAGTTACAAGTTGACTGAGATTAGATCGGAAGTATCGAAGCCATTATGCTGTCATCTCACCATTCTTGCTTTTGTTATCTTGTAATATTCAATATACTTGTGTTGTGTCGATTGAAACTGGTTTCCATCGATTTTGTGTTACACTTCGTGAATTGAAGCCGTTGAAGATGCGGGCCGCTCAAATATTGAATGATTAAATGGATAACAATACATGTTTAGATTGTACAATCTGGCAGAAATACTTACGATGGATTATAAACGTGTGTTGCAGCGCTTTTTAAACCAATAATTAAATTTACTTTTCCATTTAATTCTATTATCTAAAACTCTATCCACCCTTTTAGGTGAAGATCGTGAGGTTATGTTACCTTTTTTGTATTGCTAAAATAAACCGCGACCTCAAACCAGCGATGAAAGATAAAAGATATACGATACGGCTATTATGTTATACGTCTAATTTTACCCTTAAGCTAGCCTTTGTGTTTCTCCTTTGAAAGAATACACGAGCAGTAGGCTGTTAAGTTGTTATACAATGTTTCACGTTATAGCCAGACTTTCATTATGGACGAACATGCGTTAAATATAGGTCACAGTAAATATAAAACCTATCCCAATTAAACCTTATCTTAGAGATCGCTGTTTTTGTAATCAGTAATTAGGCCGTTGAATTAATTTTTACACGCATATTTGATGGTTACTTTAGTTCCTGTAGTCTACTTCTTTTATTAAATCTCAACTAATCAACTACTTTAACCAATTGATAACTATTTCGTTATGAGACGATCCATTTCTATTATAAAGTGTCAAGGAATAAATATTGCATACTTTTTATGACATTTTCTATGATGCCACAAGGTTGAAACAATATAAATGTCATACATGTACGTGCTTTGTGTTACAATGTTTAATGTATATTTACGACTTTTGTTACAACAGGCATAATATTGATCAATGTAAACGTTTATTGCTTAATATGAGAGCTGGGTGGAAACTAATTTAACATTAAAAATGTATTATTCAAATATACAGATTAAATATATTCGTGAACTAGCTGTTGCTAGCGATTTATCCCGCTTAAAATAAAAAATAAATAAAAAAATATAGCCTATGTTATTCACTGTTAGCGTAGCTTTTCAACGGTAAAAGAATCTTTGAAATCGGTTCAGTAGTTTTTGAGTTATATTAATATACAAAAATGCAAATCTTTCCTCTTTATAATATTAGTATAGGCAGGTGTTCAGGAGTTGATGTTCGTTGTAACATAGAGATGTATTATGTAGTACGTTTACATTGTTTTTATTTACTTTGTTCATTTGTCCTCTATCTATAAATACGTAAGTTTGTCATAACGTCAAATGATAATGATATATGTATTTTGATTATGGTATTATTTGTTAATTTACCATTGTGTGGTTCAAATACGTTTATTTGTTACTAATGTTTATCATTCAATGTAAATTTCGTGTTGCAAAGCAGCCGACATAATTTGCAAATAATTTGACGCGAACATATGTCAAACCGGACGTGTAACTGGCAACCCAGAGTGATTTAATGGTTACAGTTATTTAGTGTAGACTAAGGGAGAGAGACTTGAAACAATTAGTAAGGTATACATGAGTTTCATTAATATTGATTATTATAACAAATTAATTTTGACACCTACGATAACGTTTTTTCTCGACTTATTGAATCTCTTTGAGTTCTATTTTAATAGGTGTTTTATTACTAATTATGTCGTAAGCTTACGCGACAAGAAATAACAATGGAGTCGTGAAATGAATTCACAGAGAAATTGGCCGTGGTCCAGCCACGTTTGTACAGTTTGGAACGAGTCTATATTCGTTCCATGAGACTTTATTGTTGACCACCTAACACCTACTGGTGTTGCTGTTACGTAACTTAAACAGCGCTCAAACAGCACGTATGTAAATATCATTAAACTTTCTTTTATAGCTACCGGTTTGAAAACATTTAACAAAACGAATACTTACTTTAAAGCATAAATAGCTTACCTAAAGAAGCTACAGATATTTCCAAAAACCTGATAGCATATTTTTAAATAACGTAATTAGTTTACAAAAGTTAAATAAACATACTAATTATAATAACAGATTAAACTGTATCATAAACATGAATCTGAAAAGATAAATATGATATTTGTTTACATGCTGGCCGAAAATACGGATAACCATAAACATGTCAGTTTTAAAGATGATTAAAAATATACAAGGGCCAGTATGTAAACCTCTTTCGTGGCGTAATGATGTTTTAAATATCGTGGTACCGAGTGGTTGGCGATGGGCTATTAAAAATTAATGATACTCGCCGCGTATCCGTTTCACAGGATGTTTAAAATCTCACGATCTGATGAAAGCTTTATTGTAAATAGCAAATTGCTCGATTATTAATTCTCGCTCATTGGAATGAATATCGCGTTTCATCTTCAAAATTAACGAAACAATTTCGTGCTCGGAGAGTCGCGGGGGAATTAGTGGAGGGCCTTGACATTTTCCAAGGATTCAGACTAAGGCCATACAATAAACAATTGTATCCTATTTCATTTTGTTTCGTAATCACTGTTTTGATTTTGTGATTCCACTTGAAACCCGAGGAATCACATTTATATTTTCGTTAGATCGTCGATTTAAATGCGAGACTTTGATTTTAAATTGTTTTCGGTTAAATTGGTTGATATTAAATATATAAACATATTCTATTTTTAAAAAGTATGTTGATAATATTTCCGAGACCAACGCGATATGCCAAAAATATGGCTACAGAGCGATGACATTAGACAAAGACCTTGAAATGTAGTTTCGTTGTCATAAACTAACCATTTGGCAAACATTTGTTCCAAAATTGGCTGTATGATCAGTATATCTATCTT